CATGCAACGGCCTTGGCCAGAATGCCACGCCATAGGCTTGCCCAGCATGCCATGGCACCGCCTTGGCAAGCATGCCATGCCAAAGCATTGGCCAGCAAGCCATGCCACCGCCTTGGCCAGCATGCCATGCCAAATCATTGCCCAGCATGCCAGGCCACGGCCTTGGCTAGCATGTCATGCCACTGCCTTGGCCAGCATGCAATGCCATAGCCTTGGCCACCACGGTATGCAACAGACTTGGCCAGAATGCCACGCCTTAGCCTTGCCAAGCATGCCATGGCACAGCCTTGGCAAGCATGCCTTGCCACTGCCCTGGCCAGCATGACATACCACAGCGTTGCCCAGTTTGCCAATGCCGGCACGCCATGGCACAACCGCGGCCGGCATGCCAAGCCATGACGTTGCCCAGCATGCCAAGGCGGGCTTGCCATGGCACGGCCTCGGCCAACATGCCATGCCACCACCTTGGCTAGCATGCCTTGCCACGACGTTGCCCAACCTTCCAAGGCCAGCATACCAGGCCATTGCCCTCGCCAGCATGCCATGCCACAGTGTTGCCCTGGACGCTAAGGTGGGCATGCCATGGTACGGCCTCGGCCAGTATGCCATGCCACGGCGTTGCCCAGCATGCCAAGGCGGGCATGTCATGGCACGACCACGGCCAGCATTCCATGGCACGGCGTCGACCAGCATGCCATGCCATCGCCTTGGGTAGCATGCCTTGCCATGGCGTTGCCCAACCTTGCAAGGCCAGTATGCCATGCCACTACCTCGCTAGCATACCATGCCATTGCCCTCACCAGCATGCCATGCCACTGCATTGGCCAGCACGCCATGCCAAGGCCTTGTTCAGCAGCATGGCATGCTACAGACTTGGCCAGCAACATGGCATGCCAAGGCCTTGGCCAGTTCCATGGCATGCCAACACGCCTTGGCCTGCATGGCATGTTGTGGCCTTGGCCAACATGCCTTGCCTTGTTTAGCAGCATGGCATGCCATAGCCTTGGCCAGCATGCCTTGCCTTGTTCAGCAGCATGGCATGCCATGGCCTTAGCCAGCAGCATGGCATGTCGCGGCCTTGGCTAGCGGCAGGGCATGCCGTGGCCTTGGCCAGCTATACGCCATGCCAAGGCCTTGTTCAGTAGCATGGCATGCCATGGCCCTGGCCAGCAGTATGGCATGGCAACATGCCTTGGCCAGCATGGCATGGCGCGGCCTTGGCCAGCAACGTGGCATGCCAACATGCCTTAACCAGCATGGCATGCTGCGGCCTTGGCCAGCTTGCCTTGCCTTGTTCAGCAGCATGGCATTCCACGGCCTTGGCCAGCAGCATGGCATGCCATGGCCTTGGCTAGCAGCATGGCATGCCAACACGCCTTGGCCAGCATGGCATGCCACGGCCTTGGACAGCATGTCTTGCCACGACCTTGTCGAGCAGTGTTTCATGCCACAGCCTTGTGTAGCAGCATAGCATGTCCTGGCCTTGGCAAGCATGCCATGCCACCGCCTTGGCAAGCAAGCCATGTCCCTCAGGTAATTGCCATTAGGTTTGGCTTTGACTCACGTACAAGTTGCCTTGCGAAATGCGTGTCCCTCGGGCAAATGCCATTTGGTTGGCTTTGACTTGCGAACGAGTTGCCTGTGCTTTCCTAGTGGAAGCTTGTTGCAAAATATATGTCCCTCAGAAGTTGCCTATGGCGCTTGTTATTTGCATTCGCGTTAACAGGTGCTTACTCAGCTTTTCTAAAATATTTTCGCATGTTTGTCGAGCTTCTTAGTCCTTCGGGGTGTGATTCATTTTGGGTGGCTGGTGCATAGTGTACGTTGCGGCGCGTGAGTTGTGCTTAGTTTGTGCGAGTTGGATGGATCCTTACTTGTGCAGGGAACTCCGCTGGTGCATTCCTCCGTGTCCCTTGGGTAATTTCCTTTAGGTTGGCTTTGACTTGCCTACAAGTTGCCTGCGCTTCCCTAGTGGAAGGTGCCTTGCGAATAGCATCTCCCTCAGATAATTTCCATTTGGCTGGCTTTGACTTACGAATGAGTTTCCTGTGCTTTCCTAGTGGAAGCTTGTTGCGAAAAGTATGTCTCTCGAAAGTTGCCTGTTGCCTTTGTTACTTCGGCTTCTCTAAATGTTTTCGCACGTTCATTTGACTTCTTAGTCCTTCAGGGGGGTGATTCATTTCGGGCGGCTGGTACGTAGTGTACGTCGTGGCGTGTGATTTGTGATTGGTTTGTGTGAGTTAGATGGATCCCTGCATATGTAGCGAACTCCACTGGCGCATTCCTCTTCTTTTGTGCTTGGAGACAAAATTTTACCTTCTGGCTCGCGTGGGTTCCTGTGTTGCCTACCTAATGAAAACGGACTCGGTACGAATCGTGTGCCTATATTCGTCTCGCCACATCGTGGCGTTGGGTGAACCCCAAAGTATCACTCGCGTTCTGTGCTGTCCTCACATTGCCATGTCGGTAGCATGGGCCACGGGCAGTTATACTCGTTCTCTTAGATTCAGAGCCTTGTGCAGTTACGCGTGATCTTCGACCTTCGTTTCCCTGCCAAGCGTTCGTCGCTCGTTGCGGGCTACGACCGTGCCTGCCTCTGACCATGTCGACTCTATCGGTCGGGCTCTTGCAATGCCGGCATTGTAAAAAAGGAATTCTACCTGGTTGATCCTACCAGTAGTCATATGCTTGTCTCAAAGATTAAGCTATGCATGTGTAAGTATGAACAAATTCAGATTGTGAAACTGCGAATGGCTCATTAAATTAGTTGTAGTTTGTTTGATGGTATTTTTTACTCGGATAACCGTAGTAATTCTAGAGCTAATATGTGCAACAAACCCCAACTTCCGGAAGGGATGCATTTATTAGATAAAAGGTCGACACGGGCTATGCCCGTTGCTCTGATGATTCATGATAACTCGACAGATCGCACGGCCTTTGTGTCGGCGACGCATCATTCAAATTTTGCCCTATCAACTTTTGATGGGATGATAGTGGCCTACTATGGTGGTGACGGGTGACGGAGAATTAGGGTTTGATTCCGGAGAGGGAGCCTGAGAAACGGCTACCACATCCATGGAAGGCAATAGACGTGCAAATTACCCAATCCTGACACGGGGAGGTAGTGACAATAAATAACAATACCGGGCACTTTGAGTCAGGTAATTGGAATGAGTACAATCTAAATCCCTTAACGAGGATTCATTGGAGGGCAAGTCTGGTGCTAGCAGTCATGGTAATTCCAGCTCCACTAGCGTATATTTAAGTTGTTGCAGTTAAAAAG